TTTTTTTTTTGACAATAGAATGCTTCAAGCACTTACGAAATCAGAAACCTTCGAAAATTCTAATGCTGATGATACAAATGATACCAGTGATGATGACAAAAGAATATAGCTACTCATGTTGAGTCAGCCATACTGGACTCCTAATCCTGAACAACTCCAAGCCCTCCCTTACCAGGATATTGCAACTCTGGAACAAGACATGTTGAATGAACTGTTTTATCATGTCTGTTACTTCCTCCCCAGCTATGCGGACCCCCTCTATTGCAGGGATGCAGTGTTTTCTCCAGAGGGCCCACATGACAGCTCTCCTTCCCAACTTGAACATGTTGTTTTCAAAAGTATTGTTCGTGGGGGAGGACCATGTTTCGCACAATATGGCTCTCCAGTCCCATGACCAGTTGGAACCTGTGGCTAACTGTGTCCAGATTCTATCCCACCACCACCATGTAAGCACGGTTCCCGGACACTGCATGAATATGTGCTCTATGGTTTCCGGGATTCTGCGAGAGGGGAAGGCGGTGTGGCACGAATTACACCATGGTAGCGTTCGTCCCTTCTGCTCCAGATATGTGCGGTCGATCAGCCAGTCGTTGGTGGGTAGGCAGTGGTGTTCTATCTGCCATTGTAGCGAGGCCGTTTTCGCCGGCCTGGACGTTGTGGTGGAGAACCATTGGATGGGACAGATTGCTTCAGCTCCTCCATTCAGGTGAGACCTCCATCGGTCCTTCACTTTTTCTTTTATATTCACTTTCGGGTCGCAGCAGCCGGTAGGTGGCCTTCACCGTCAAGGTGTACAGCTTCATGTTGTCCCCGTTTCTGCGCTTCCGCTGGAGAGATCACTGCCACTCCTCGGGGTCAATTGGGAGTTCAGCCACAGGTGTGTCTGGCTGATATGCGATCCACGCCTCTTTGTCTTGTATCACACGGATCCTGTGCAGGTCAGAGAGTTCCTCCACCATCTCATCACTTTTGGGGTGTACCGGGTGAGCGCGTTGTTCTTGCCAATGTGGAAGAGAGCGACCAGGGATTCGTTTGCACGCACCTCTACCACGGTGCCTATGCTCTCCGGATCGCCCGGGGCTGCTACCCAATCCCCTTTTGCCAGTCGCGGTCCTCTGCGCAGGATACGAACCCAGTCCAGGGGGATGGTAAAGATCAAGGTTTCAATGTGTTCTTCCACTTCGTGACAATACTTGAGTGTGACCCTGAGTTGTTGTGCAGTCTTCCAGTCTACCTTTTTTTACCCAGCTGTTCTATGGGGTGCCTCAACTGCAGTACACTCTACTGTTTCGGTCTGTTATCCATCTATTCCCGAAAAGGGGTTGGCGTGCCACCTCTTCCCATCTGGTTGGTGAGGGTTTATCGGGCAGCGGGAGTTGTCGCCAGGCGTGCAGAACTCGGGTCCAAAAGTCATCCCTGGCCAAATCCGGACGGGATCGTGGTATTGTCCAGTAAAGGTCCTCCAGCCAGGTTAGTGGATTGACACCTTTGCGGTGCCTGCGGGGCAAGCCTAGCTATTTGTTCCAAGGCAAGGGCATGCCATGGGAGGCGTTGAGTGAATAACAATCTCTGGATCCATTGAATTGTTAATGCCTTGAACTGAGTATCTGGGCCCAAGATCCCTAGGCCTCCTTTGTCTTTAGGTTGTATCACCGAGCTCCAAGCTACCCTCCTGATAACATTTGGAAGTTATCCGTTTCCTCTCCATAGCAGGGCTATTACCTGTCGCTTTAGTGACCGAATGGACTCCTTACCGAGGGCTCAAATTGCAGATTTATACCAGAGGGCCGCCAATACCATGTTATTGATTGTCAATGCCCTGCCAATAAGAGAGGTATGACGGTCGTTCCAATGTGTCAGTTTCTCTAGAGCAGGCTTCAGCATCCATTCGTCGTTCGATGCGGGTCTGCCCAGTGCCGTTAGCATGATTCCCAGTACCTGGCAGCCACTTGACCTGCAGAAACTCGGGGGGGCGGACCCCTTGGTGGTGGATCCACCAGCCCAGGGTCTTGTTCCCCCAGTTGACCGTCATGTCTGAAATTGTTGTAAATCGATCGAACAATGGCCTGATCTCTTCCATGTTTGCTGCAATTGCGTCGACCATGAGTGTCAGATCGTCTGCGAACATCGAATATATCGGGATTGGTTCTTCCGGGATGGAAGAGATCTACAATTTCCTCAGGTCTTTGTTAGTTCGGAGATTTGTTGTCAATGCCTCCATCACTATTATGAACAGGAAGGGTGTCAGAGGGTCCCCCTGACGGACCGACCGCTGCAGTTTTAAGGGTGGTGTTATCCTTCCATTGACTTGAACGCACGTGGTTGCGTTATGGTGCAGCACCACGGTCCAGCGCCGGAAAACTGGCCCTATGTTCATTTTTTTCATACATTTGTCTAGGAATAGTCAGTCCATATGGTCGTAAGCTTTTTCGAAATCTATGAAGACCACAACAGCGTATTGTTTGTCCTGTCTTGTCAGCTTGAGTAGTTCATTAACTAATAGTATGTTATCTTGGATCCTGCGGCCTTTGATGAACCCGGTTT